TGTTATAGTTCACGAATTTAATTGATTTATAACTTATCATTAATCCGGTTCACACTCGATCCGGGTCTTTCATCATATCAATCCATATATTACAAATTTTATAATAAACTTAGTTTTTGAAATCAACCCCGCACGTACGTGCGGGTCCATCCCTAGTTCTTCTTATATTTTTATAGAAACTAGGGCTGTCAGCCCGTGCGTTGCCGCACGGGGAAATGAAAACTTAAAATAATTAACATTATTAAATAACTTTTTCGAGTGGAAAATTGATTATAATCTTCTAACTGTATATATTTTTATTTAATTTACGAATTTATTTTCTTTACCTTTTCTATATTATGATATATTAGATTTGTGAGACTCAAAAAACTTTCTTACAATTTTATCTTTATCCCTCAAATGATATTTTCTGTTGGCATCGCTGCATTTTAATACTAATGATCTTAGAGAGTCATAAGAATTCAATATTTATGAATGGCCATTTTTTACTCTTAACGTGCCCCTTCTTTTGATTTATTTAAAAAACAAAGCTTTCAACGCAATTATGAAATGAACTTCTAGCTACTGCCCTTAAAAGAATATCAAAGATTGATGTCTTTTCCTTTTACAAAATCTAAAAAACTTTTTGGATACAAAACTCAACTATTTATATCATAATACATGTTTCAATCACCAACGAATCATTAGTCCCATAAAACTAATGAGACAAACTACATATTCAACCAAATTCAACATAACATTATAGGAACATAAGCAATACCTAAAGAACCATCAATGAGAAAGAATATGCTTCAATTTAAGAAAAAAAAAGTTTTACAATGACAAATTATTGTCAATTATATTTAAAAGAACATATATTTGGTATTTTGGTGAGGCATCTACAGATGGCACGACTTTTCATAGGACAAAGATCAACATAAAACAACTTCTTCTTCTTGTATGCTTCTGTTATATCAATTTTATGGTTTTATCAAAACATGAGCTATAAATTCAAGGGCGATCTTGCTGCAAATTACATTTCACAAATCACAATATATATTAGAATCATATCCAATTGTATCTACAGATATATTTCAACTAAATACCAACAAATATTGTTGTATCAAAACACCAACCTATAATTAATAATAATAAATAAATAAATAAAACACAAAAATTTGAAACAATGATTTGTAATTGATTCTTGTAGAAATTTAGAAGTATAATTAAACAATAAAAATTTAGTGAAGTCACTAATCAAACAATAAAAAAGGGAGTAGAAAATTATAAGTTTAAAAGCTTATCAAAATATAAAATAATATGAGGAAGATGAAACAAAACAAACCAAATGATGTTTGAGTGTAAATCTATGGCCATGTTACTACATTTTATATGAGTTTTATACTTTTTTGAAGTTAAATTAATCAATTAATAATTTTGTTGCAAATACCGAAATCGATTCAGTGACAAGAAGAGAACAATGTTAAGAAGATATATGAAAGGTATTCACATAAAGCAAATCTCAAATCAATATTCTATTGAAATTTACAAAAAAAAAAGTAATAAGAGAAGTAGGGTGATAGTCAAAATTAATTACCTAGATCAACACATCGAAGGTATGATCAATGCATGTATAAGATGGAAAACGACATCAAACAGAGGTTGGATAAGGAAATCAATAAATAAATCAATCATATTCAAACGAAGATGGTTAATCAACGAAGACTAATAAATCGAAAAAAAAATATTCAGATTTTTAAAATCTTGGAGGTGTGAAACAATACTCAGAGAAACAAAATATATTTTCAAGGTCCAGAGAAATCTATATATACAAACAAAGAGGTGTGAAAAAATAACAGGTGCAAAAATTTTAAGCTAGGGGTACGACGAATAAACACAATTGTTGGGTATAAAACTTTGAAATTTTTGGGATCATTAACAAATATAAATAGTTAGATGACATAACG